TCAGGATACCTGGAATCAGTGTTACAAGTACCCCAGGCACATCGTTTTTCCATTTTTGTAGCATAAAACACCATCAAACCGAGGAAAGCTTCGGATCTTCCAATTGTTCTCTATGGTGCAATAACCTAAAAATGTCCGAGTTCCATTCCCCGTGCAACTGATACTCGACTGCCATTGACTCCTCTGCGTTCGAGGGGAGGGTCTTACTGATAGGTCAGTTCTCACTATTAACAAGTTGCTTATTAGCATGCCTATTGTTAACATATTGGCTGTTTATTAGCACTTATAAAGCATATGCTGCATGGTCATATTCTACATCCCTAATCCTACCCAATACCTAAATTTAACAACTACCTTACTAACTATTAATAAGCAGCAACTTAGGAGTTTGAGGAAAAAGTTGTATTTAAAATAAGGTGTGACCGAGAAAGAAAAAAAAAAGTAACAAAAAAAACCTATCAGTGGCCACAGTTCATTCTTAGCAATTTCCCCCTCAATGTCCTGGGTTTGGTTCTTGGTTAATCCTTAAAATAAATGTAAAAAAAAAAAAAAAAAAAATTGTTTGCAGTGGATGACTACACCATGTGGGAGGAAAAATGTGCTGCAATGACTGCACAAACTGCACAACTGCGGAGTTCTTGGGATCAAAGCGTTTGAAGCTTTATAGGACTGTGTTGGGCTCCAGATTTTCTCAATAGCCACTTCTGACTTCCCCACAGATTGCGAAACCGTCCGGCTGCTTGTTTCATCACAAAGTTTATGCAGAAAAACAAGAGTCTGAACTTTGCTCTTATCAGAGAGTGGAGTGTTGAGATAACTATGTGCACTTGCGGGCAGGTTTTCAGCGGCTCTGGCCCCCTGTTCTGTGGGCACTGATGCTGGACTAATCAACAGCTGCATCATGTGTGGGCGTGAAGCGCAGCACTGCTTCGTTCTGCCTGGAAACCGCTGCGATAACACACTGCTGCCGTCCGGTTCCTTTGGCCTGATGATTCATTTTGAGTTCAGAGTCACATTACACTCACGCTGTGTTTGAGTAGTGTGCACTTACAAAATTTGCATTGAAATTTTTTTGACTGGGTCATTGTGACTGGTAAATTTGTAAATGCTATGCTGCTAATGTCACAAAAAATGGAATTGTGAAAATAAAGACTGTCTGAAAATATTTTCCCAGACACTTCCCAGAGTAATGCCTTTGTTTGAGCCAGAATACACCGTCAAACAGTATATGCTCTTCATAATGGCTTACTTATCTTGACTCTGTTGACTTACAGTTG